TATAATCTTATAATAATATTGTATATGAGATTACATATCTATGCAATATTAACTTTCTTATATACAGGAAGTAGCTTGATTGAATTTAATTTGGACTTTTAGTTTTACTTGTTTATTATCTATTGCCTAAGATAAATATATAAATAATAATGATAAAGCGCTGGTCAGTCCAGGGATCACATAACTATAGCAGGCTAGGTTTTATATGACTGGAAGTTGATAAATGTTCATTGAAGACCTGCATTGTGTGATAGAAAATTATATAACTGTGCAAAAAATGAGTTAGCCAATGATTTTATATAGGATTTGATGATAGCTATATATCTGTGGTGGGCTATAATAATAGTTCTGAGATGAGGAAAAACTTAATTAAAGAATTTCTTATTAACTTCAGAATTTCTTATTATATTATTATTTATAGTCAGTTTACCTCTTCCATTGCTGATCAACTTTTCTATAGAATTGAACTGAACTAAACGGATTTGAATGGAAATAAAGTCCTGTAAAACACAATTTTTGTGATAGACACTTGAACCTCTGTTATTATTCGTGAAATTGGGGCTATAATTATTTCAATTAGACTCTCGCAATCTGTTCCATTTGTTTCTCTAATATTTGCTGGGATATTATCGCGTATCTCAGCTAATTTATTCGCTCGTTTGTTTACAGCGCCAACTGTTGCTGTTGCGAGTGCACAGTTGCTGTTGCTGTTGCTGCTTGATAATGCCAATGCCAACGGGCTTCCAGGTTCGCCGATTACTATGAATTTTCACGCGCTCGCTCGCTCGCTCACTCTCTCTGAATTTATCTTTTTCATATATGTATTTATATATACATATATTTTGTTCACTATGTATATATATTTCGATGGGCAGAGGAATTTCAATTTCAATTTCGACTATATCGCGCGATTCGCGTTCCTTTGCCGAGCTGCGTGCGTTTGCGACGCTTCACTTTTCCGTTCTGAATCCAAATCTGAGGTACTGGCAGCAAAAGCTTTTCCCAGTAATATACTACCCTAGCGACGACACGGCTGCGACTGCGACGGCGACAGCGACGGCGACGTCGACTGCAGCAGCGGCTGACAAGCGGCTGGGGTTTACGTTTATGCATTTGTATTTGTTGCTGTTATTGTTATAATTGTTTCTGTTGCTGTTTTTGCTTTTGCTTATGTTTGTGTGCGTCATTTGTAATTTGCAATTGCATTATGAATTTGTATTTGTGTTTCTGTCACTGTATTTGCATTTGTGCTCGAGCTCATTTCATGAGCCACAACAACAATATGCTCTCTGTGTGGGCTGTGTGGGCAGAGCTTTACAATTTGTTTACTTATAGGGTGCAACATTTCACATGCAATAACAACAACAAATTGAAGTCTGTATGTGTGTGCGTGTGTGTGTAGCAACAACAACCACCTGTGGAGCAGACACATAGCGAAAAGAGGAAATCGTGCAAGCTACCCTGGCACAATCCCCTTACGTGATGGAGCTTTCCTAGGTGCATTATTCCCATGCATATTCCAAGCAAACCAACAAAAGCTCTACTCCGGCGGAGAACTTGGGAACTGGGCGCACAGCTGAATGACTAGCTGCTGCTGGCATCGGTTACCACGGCGAGAAACTAGAGCTAGACAAACATACATATGGCAACAGATAATTACGATTTCCATTTAAAGGTCAACTTTGCGGTTTTAGCATAAGAATTTTTGAAACAAGGTTGAATTAACTACACTTTGCCTTGAACTTGGTTTTGCGAGTCTTGGCCAAGCAAATTTGCTCAAAAAGTAGGCTTCATGTTATATATGGAATGAAAAAGGAATTAAATGAAAACAGTTAATGAAGTAAATAAAATGAGTAAAAGAACATAAACATAAAACAAGACATAAAATATTTCAGAATTATGAATGAATTAATGGAAATCAAGTAAACTGAAAACAAAATACTCTGTATAAAAAACAGTTGGCTAGAGCTAATGTTGGTATTTTATATTTAGAGAGATGCACTGAAAATTGACCTTTATAAGAATAGTATTAAATTGAAAATTAATAATAAAARTAAATAGTATTTAATAAATACAAAAAGTCAGTCTAATTTATTATGAGGTATTTTACTGATTAAAATTATTAGTAAAACATATAACAATATCAAAACACTTATTACCCTAACAGAGACGTCATACCAAATTTATTTATTTATCATACCAAAATTTAATTAAATACTCAAAAAAACAAATCGAAATTTTGTGTACATAAATACATATTTATATATTTTATATTTTCAATTTATAGATTTTTTTTAGATAATTTAATACCTAGAATATATTTTTAAGATAATTGGATTATATATTAATACAAAATAATAAGCTTTAAGAGTCTGGCTCATTTAGACTAGAAGAAAAACGCACGGACAGCCATTAAGGGTTATAAAAACTAAAAGTGAACCCACTTCGAGCCTCGATAAAAACAAGAATTATATATAGGAAAATTTCCAAACAATTAGATACAAAAAATATAAATTAAATACTACTAATAAAAAATGATGAATTCAAGCAATGAATATATGCGCTCTTTGACCTTGAATCAAGTGGGTTCGAAACGTTACTAAAGACGTGACTGTATTGGTAGAGTTGAATAGCGTATTGAATTGTATTACTCTATATGTAATCAATCGAATATTGCTGATTAGCTGCTGTCAGCACGTGCACATTCATGCATTCTGCGACAGGAAAAGCTAAAGCCCGCGTTGCGTATACGTCGCATTGGCCGGCCGGCCGGGCCGGGTGCACGCACGTGAATCGCGCATGGCTGTGCTAAAAATAGTTAGAGACAAGAAAAAAACACACGCACACATGCACACAAACACACACTCACAATGAACATGGATAAATATAAAGAAAAGCACGCGGCGCTCAGAGAGTGGCAGCACGTAAATAAGCCCATATATCTCAGCATGCTGACTGGGTCGAATGGCAATGGCAGAGCTAACAAGGCTTTTGAAAGGCGAGCTGCATGCAATTCGTGAAATGAAATCATTTACAATTATGGCTGGAAACACGACACGACACTACAACTTCAGCTCCCAGCCCTAGGACCCTGGGGAGTGGGTAGTGGGGATGGGGGAATCAAAATGACAATGTTAAGACCTTTAACTGCGTGCGACTTCCATCAGCTGATTTTGTCAGCTGACGAACGTCTTTTACGGAGCCAGGCACGAGCTGAAGTCGCTTAAGGCTCAAGAGCTGCACGCCTCCATTTAAAGGCGGACAGTAAAAACTTCCTTGAGTGGACACTTGGCAGGGAATTCAGTGCCGTAAGCACATCCTGAGTGGCGTGTTTCTTGTTAGCCCTGGCCAACAAAATGGATAAAAATAGGCGTGACAATGATAAGAGCGACGGTGTCAAGCATAGTCTAAGGGCCACATACATAGATAGCGCGCATAAGTAATTAGATTCTTAAGCTTTTAGCTGCTGATGGGAGAGCGCCTATCAATGTTTATCTGACAAGTGAATATTCTCCACATATTGTGCTACTTGACCTCTCACACATCGCCAACATGGCAGGCTACTGAAAAAGCCATTAGAGTCACGCACACACACGCACACGCGCGCATAATATTTGCGTTAATTAAAATGTTTTAATTAACACTTAGTGCACATATTGTCGATTACTCACTTCTTGACATTGAACGCTATCCTGTCCTGGTATCCAATTAATTGTGTTCAATTCGTTCATTGGCATTATATATACGATATTACGATGTGTCGACTAGCTAAGGGGGAGGGCAGCAGGGGAGGGGATGTGGGGTAGTTGGGTAGGATATTGGCACGAAAGTCAATTTGGCAACCAAAAAAGAGCAAAGAAAATTATGAGCAGAACTTGATTTGGTATTGCGCGCGGCGTTTATATATTTTCCCGAATAAAATGTTTAATCAAGGGCAAGGGCCACACGGCAACGGCTACGGCAGGCGACAGGACCCCTCCCCCTTTCGCTTTAGGCGGCTCGCTTGATGCGCTCGCTTGGGATGCGTGCTGCTCTTTTATCGATTGTTGTTCACACCACAAATATTAAACTTGTTTTTTGTATCGCAACTCTACGGTTTGTAATTAAATTATTTTTAGCCTGCTTGCGGTTGCAGAATTCCGGGCTCTGCTCTATAAGCTGAACGGACTGCACGAGCCGAGAAAACACGTAAAACTGCGGCGGGAAATGCAAACGCTAAGGGCTTTAATGCTAGTTGGGAAATTTTAACAGCGCTGCCAAATAACATTGAAGTTAACATAACATTTCTAATTGGTCCAATCTGAATCTGAAGGCTTTGCAGACTGATGTTACTCTAACAGCAGCAGTCAATGTTAAAATTAACATTTTATTTTTATGAGCAGATACTTAAACACAGTTTTAAAATAATGTACACGTTTATTAATTTAAGCAATTTAGTAAGCATAGATAACACGATTACCATTTAGTGGCTTCTCTTCAAACAACATGTTATAGCATAGTTATTAATTTCTTAATTAGTATCTTTTTCTTTTCGCAATATTAGGTAAATATATATAAATATCAATATTTTAAACATTTTGCATTGGTTGCTTTCATAGCGGTGTGTGTAGAGTTCTTTAAAAGATATAATAAATACATGCATAAATAAACAAAACAATTTTTAACAAAAGTATAAGCCACAATTGTAAATCACATTAAAGAATTTATATGTATAAAGCAGATCCTAAATATATGAATTAACTGCAATTTATGCTAACCGAAAGCTAATGTCTGTCTGTCTAATGCCATTTGCTTAGCGCATCTAAATTTGCAAATGCAAAAATACAGCTATACAGTCGCAAAATATGATGCCTCCATTTGTTGTTGTTTTCATTGAAATCTCTCAGATCGTTAATCACTATAGTGTTGGTTTATTCGCTTCTCCGATTACATCGAGCACCGACTTCGCTCTAGTTGTCTCGCTGAATGATGCTGTTGTTGTAGCTGTTGCTGAGTTGTTGCTGTTTTTTGTAGCCTTTGTTAAATTCGCTGCTTTGCATCCAGTGGATGAACCCATGTGCTCTTAGCTGGTAGAATTCTGTTGCCGTGTCGCTGCTGAGTTAGACCAGAATTTCAGCATACTATCTGCGCAGATCGATAACCTTGATCTTGGTCTGGGCATCTATCTTGATGTGCTGTGCATCCATGAAGAGCGGCGGATCATTGGGATGTGGGTGGAATCCGCTTTGCCGGCACTGTGCAATGTAGTCCAGGCCATATTGCGGCGTGAGTAAGAAGAAACCAGTTCTAAAAATAAACACACACATTGCGCACAGCTCGAATCGATGAGAACAAAAACAAAGACAAATGCAGTGACTCACGTATTGTATTTGGGCGCACAGACGATGGCGATTGCCTCCGGCATCATCATCTGGTAGGAGCAGTGCGTGTGCAAGTCAACGGAGGACAGAAAGGCCGTCTGGCTGGGATGGGTCTGTCAATGAAAGTGATGTGAATCATGTATTAGTCAATAATGTATGTAGAGGCTACACTCAAGGCCACCTACATGTATCCAGCCAAGCGTAATGAGCTGCATTTGATCCTGGACATCGAAGATCTGCTCCTCGTGCATCGTGTTGCAGCTGTCGGGCGTGCCCTGCTGCTGGGGCGCAATAATATGCGTTATATAGAGTTCATTGTGGGCCAGGTGGCCGGCGAGGACGCCGCAAGTCTCGATGTTATTGGAGGTATTGGCATGCGCCAGCTTCAGAAACACATCCATGGTGTCGCCGGGCACATTGACGCAGCGCAGTGAGCCGGCCAAGAGCGAGTCGGTGCGATTGAACTGCGGCTTCCGGCTGCGATCGAATGCGGGCTTTGACGACGAGCTGTAAGTTTAGAAATCACGTTAGTCTGCTGATTAGGATTCTCTTGGAGTGCACTCACTTGGCAATCTTGTCGGCGGCACCAGCCTCAGCTGCCATCGGCAATAGGAGACCCGAGTTGGGCAGGTTGTTTCGGTTGGTGCCCGTGGGAAAATCGTTTGGATAGACCACCTGATCGAGCAGACTCAGATCTGGGGCCGTTGGTTGGCTGCTGGGATCCATTTGTACGTGCAGATTGGCGGGTATGAGGGAAGGAATAGATGAAGCTGTCGATGCCTTCTTGTTGGCCATCTGCAGCTGGCGCTCTCGCTCCTGTTCGCGCATTCGCTCCGCCTCCTTGTTGGCCAGAAACTGTTCGTATTCACGTTGGTACTGGGCCAGCAACTTGTTGCGCAGCTTCTCTGTTGTGGGCATGATCTCGTCCTTAATCGTCTTATTGATGGCCTTCACTTCAGCTTTAACGCTGCCATAGTCCGGATGCTGGCGTATCTTCTCAATGAACAACGTCATGTAGCGCATGTACAATATAAATGCATTCTCATGGTCGCCCTCATTCAGATAGACGTTGGCCATGCGCAGGATCTCCGTTCCGGCGCGGTAATAGCTGCGGAGTAAAAGGAGACGATTCGTCGGCCAAAAATAAATCAACCCAAATAAAATATTTTTGTTGTGCTGCCTATAGGAATTTCAGTCAGAAACCCACACACACACACACACACACATACACAGGCAGGCATTTATATATGAATGTGTGTTTGTGTGTGTGTGTGTGTGCGTGTGTGTGTGAATATCCTTCAAAAGACAAATGCGCATGCAAGGTCTTCGCCTCTGCGAAGTGTGGGTTGACATTGGAGTAGAATTTCCGCTTGGCGCCACAGCTGTGAATCTTTGGCTGCTCTTCAACTTACCGCGACACTTTCATATTCTTGTCCACATCGATAAGGTTGCCGCAGTGGGAGAGATTTTTAATGCGCTGCTGTGGCTCCACAACGCCCATGTTCATGTTATTCACGGCCTTCGACATGTTTTTTTATTTGAGCTTCTCCTCTGATTTTATTTTATTTATTTATTTTTTTTCTGGCTAAGCTTCAATTTTGTCTAAGCGTGTTTTTGTGTTTAAGGTACAGCTTGATTGCAGTTCTCATTTGTAGTATTGCCCTTGCCAAGGATTTGGTTATTTTGTAACAATTGTCAGCGAATTACTCATTACGCAGGTGTTCGTGGTGATGGCGTCGCTGGAAAACTGTGAGAACAGCTGTTCGGTAGATGAAAAAACTGAAATATGTCCCTTTAACAGCTGAGTTAACATCTGTTGATATCGACTGCTATCGATAGTTTTACACTTGCTCGATAGCTCTAAGCAGATTGCCCGCGCAACTGTTAACGTGAAATTGAGCAGTCAGTTAATATTTGAATAACATAAAATGTATTTGACACGAATTCCATATAAGCTAAACACAATGAACCAACACTTGCAAACTTTTGCTCATATACAAGCTATGGACATTCCGATAATCCTTATCGCCCTGCAATTTATAGCTTGGCTAATCTTCATAAAGTTATGTATAAGTAGTTATCAGTTATTATTTTTAAAGACCCCCACTTGTGCAAACTTCAACAATAGATTGGCTACTCTTGCTAGTTATTTGTAGAGCCTGCGTGTGGCTTGTAGTGTGAGCGGCTGCCTATTTGGTTAATATCTTGAAGTAAGTTAATTTGAGCTATTAAAAGATTTACAGTTATTTGCCAAACGGCTGCATAGTTCAAGTGGCCGAAGTAGTGCTTATTTAGGGTGAGTTAGCTAATCTCTAGTTTAGATCTGCGATGATAAGCTATCAAAGGTAACAGCAACGGCACTACCGACGCCATATATCCGAGCTTATCCCAATAGCAGCTGAGTGACAAAGGGTAGCTGAGGCACTCAAACAAAGACCACGTTTCAGACTTCAGCTCTGATAATGCACAGCAGTTGAGCGAGTGAGCGAATGACTGCATGAGTCGATGACTAACTGAGCGCTGGATGGCAATCAATGTAAAGCAAATATAAATAACAACTGACCAAATGCCATTCAAAAACCACAAGCAAAATAATATAAATAAATAAACAAAACGCAAGCGTGGTCAGAGAGACAAAACAGAGAGGGTAAGAGTGTAAGTGAGAGAGCGCGAGGGAGAGCGAGAGAGCGAGATCGTTGTTCCATCTTGGTCAGTCAGTGGCCCAGTCATCGAGCAGTCGAGTGCCAGATTGGGCGCATAGCGGGCGTAATTTTTTCATTTTCAAAATCTCCAGCGCGACGAAACCGAAACCGAAAAGAAAAAAAAAAAAAAAAAACCTACGCGACTTCGAGCCGAAAATCGGTTTCAGTTTCGTTTTCTGTCCATTACTTGTGCTGTGAGGGGGCGTGGCAGGCGGGAAGCGCTCTTGTGTATTGCAGATAAATATACATATACATATACATATATGTACATATATGTGCATATGTATGCCTGTCCCATCGAAGTGGCATGTTTTGAAATCTTGTTTCACATTTGGAACGGAAAAAGTTTTTGCAATCGGTTCGGCGATCGAAAATGTCCAGCAAATAAATAATTTTTACGTGTTAAGCCGCAAATCGCGATCATAATTAAACAATTAATTGAGGGGCCATAGCGTGAGATAGGCCAGCGATCCAAACCAGCTGGAAGCAATGAGCAGCCCTTGGCTTGCACTCCACGTAGAGCTGGCGAATTAGTGCTATTTAGACTATTTGCCGTATTAGCAACTGAAATCGCTGAGATCGTAATTGTTATTAGCTGCTCGAGCTAATCAGTGCCAAGGCAAAGGAGCCTCGTTGCATAAGCTAACTGTGCTGAGTGCCGCGCTTAACCTCGAAAATCAGTACGAGAATCGCGATTCACAAACACAAACATACACACACACATACAGAAAAAAGTGAAAAAAGAAAAATAATATAGAAAGAAAAGAGAAAAAAATAAAAATAGTGTATGAAAAGGCTCATCAGCCCGCCATATGAACCGAAATCTTTTGTAATTCGCTCAATTGGATGCCAGGAGATACATTTGAATCTTTTGTAAGTGATGCGCACAATGAATGGCGAGTGGACTTCGTGGACCCAAATTGTCCGAATTAAAATCAGATAAAAGCCAATTGCCATTCGGATAAAAGCGGAATTGAATATAGCTGAGTAAAAGAAGCGAAGCTAATTTCCTGTTCCTATATAAAACAATGCAATCGATCAATATTATAACAGATCTGCACTCTAGAAATGAAGCTGGAGAAAAAAGAAGAAAATATACTTGTATAATAATATAAGCAGAAATTTTAGACAACTGTATTGTATTTGAGTCTGTATCTGTATCTGTATATGTATCTGTGAATCTGCGCTCTGGCCCTGCAGCTGTTATCGTTGTGCCTTTGTATGCTATACCCTAACCAATTGGTGTGTTTCCCATATGGGATGACATATTATATGGCATATGAATATGTATGACACAGAAAATCTATTTCCATATAGAAAGTAGACTTACTATATCCATCAGTTCAACTATGGAACTCTTATGGCTATCCCAGGTGTCACTTAATAATTCAGAAGAGAATAAGAAATGGAACAATAATATAATAATATTATATCAATATATTATTTCTTATCACAAGCATAGATCTTAAAATACATTTATCTATACTATTCGATTTATTATTCTATACAAGCTTTTACCTAGGAAATTAATATAAAATCATGATATTAAATCCAAAGTTCGCAGCGTATTTCAAGTTCGTCTTTTTTGGTTGCTTTAAAGTTTTTTGGCTTTTAAGTATTTTCTGTGCTTTGCTTGACATTGCCCGCTGCTGGTGTTTTTTCTTTTTTTTGTGGTCTTTGGCTTGGCCAGCGGCATATGAGTACGTATTTTATTTAATTTTCGTTTTCAATGTCGACTTGTCGTCGGCTGAATTATGCAAAGCGCGCGACAATCTCGATAATTGTTGTGGATAGTGTGCGGGGGTGGCAGGGTAGAGGGTGGTGGAGGGAGGTAGGCTGAGCGGGGGGTAGGTGCTACGTGGAGTGACATGGCATATGGCAAGGCATACAAAACAATTACTCACACTCGATTTCCTATTTAGAGTCTGTTAAATMTAAAGTTCTTTTGTGTAAAACGTGGCCCGCATGCAATCAAGAAAAAATACATAAATACGGAGAGATTATCTGGAAATGGGAACAAAAGGCGCATAATAAACTGCTCAACTACTTTTGATTTCAGTCAAGTCAGCATTGGCCACAGGCCAACGATTACAGCACCAGCAGCAGCTGTGGCAGCCGAAGCAATCACAACAACAACAACAACAACAACAGCTTTGGCAACAGAAGAAGGCTAACGATTTCGCAAGCTGATAAAAACCAGTTTTGAGTAACGAGTCGCATTTGCCTCTGTTGCTGTTGTTATTGTTGTTGTTGTTGTTGTTGCTCTTTCTGGCTGCTGATAACAGCGCAACAATCACCAACGATTGCCCATTGCTGTTGTTGTTGTTGTTGTTGTTCTTGTGGTTTTTGCTTTGCTTTGATTTAATACGCACTTATCTATTTATTGATTGGATGCAACTGCCGAAGGTCACTGCGATTGCAGACACCTCAATAAATTAGCATTTGCCGCTGGCCAACGACCGCATTATGTATCCATATAAATGTTAAGCGACGTCAACATACATATATATATATTGCTGTCTATTATATTTACATTTATGGATGGTCTGGCCGGTTGGCCCTTTGTTTATATAGAGTAACACGAATTTTGTAATTATTTATTGTCAATATTTGCTCAATACTTATATTCATTAAAGGGCCGTGAAATTGGCAAGCTTGATAAGAGGCTTGCCCTATGTTGCCATAGATAAACTCGAATGGGCATAATCTAATCACTTATAGGAAAGTATGTAAGGCTCAATGAGTTTATAGACTCATTCAGTTGCAATTCATTATATGACTTCAGCCTTAGAGAGATTGTGGCGAGGCAACAGCTGAAATCTGTTTTGCATTTTCATTAAATGAAGTGAAGTGAAGTGTGGACATAAGAAATGATTTATATACATTTACATACATTTATATATATTATTTGAAAATATTTATCAAATATACATATATA